ATTTCAGGGCGGCTGCGCCGTCGGTCACTGAAATTCCGGCCGCGGGAGGCGGTGTCACCGCCGTGCCGGCCATCTTTCCCGGCTACTGTGCCGAATAGTATAGTCGGCTTTAGACAGAGAGATTAATTATAGACTTTCATAGTGCTCGTTTTGTGTCATCTTCTTTCTATTTCCTTCTTCTTCGGATCAAATCATACTCTTTTGTTCTCTATGTTTTTTTTTTTTTCAAATTAAATTAGTTTTTTTTTTCCGATCCAAATTAAATTAGGTACCAAATCGTTTATCTAGAAAAGGCCAACTATTTACAACTTCTATTCCAGTCAAACCGTGACCCCGATTTCAACTTTTTCTCCTTTTTTTTTTCTTTATTTTTACAAAGGAAGATGCTAATGCCTCCTGAGTTTAAGTCACCCACGTTACGCGAGTATGACACGCCAATCACATCATGGTGCAGCCACTATCGAACCTCAATGGGAAGCGCGCTAAAATACTGAAATCCCACCAAACCCTCCGCAGTGAAGGAAGTCATGCAGTCAGCTGCAAAATTCGCCTCGCGGAACACGTGTGTCACCTTAAGTGATGTTATAAAGTAATTTAAATACTATATATTGTATTGTGTTAGTTAGTATTTAGTTAAACAAATTAACTTGGCTTTCATTATATAGCTGGTATGTACTCTTGCGATGTTGCGATGCACGAGATAAGAAAGAACAGATTTTAGCATGTTTGAGAAGCCTTAAGGCAGCCCATGTAATGGTTGAAGACTTGAAGTTATGAGTAAAAGATAGGAAGAATTGGTTGAGAAATATATTAAATGCGTTATTTTCGTACTTATGTCCGTTTAGGTCTAAAAGATTAGTTTTCACCTCTTTTGATCGAAGTCTTTTTTTTATCAAACGACTTTTGATCAAAGTTAAATATAAAAAATAATATGGTTATAATCTATTTTTCACCTCATTTAATCAGCGTTTTTTTAGTCAGAACGTTAAATACGAGCATGTTAGAGCTAGCTTCTAAAATAATTAATATATTATCTCACGAACACATTTATACTAATATAATATTTAATTTTAATATATATATATATATATATATTCTTTGATAAGAGAAAATAAAAGTTTTATTTATTCTTGTTCACCATATATTATTTAATTATTATTTTATTATAAATTTTGTTGTCATGTATTGACATTATTGGTTATAAAAGTTATAGAAGTTGTATATCTTCTTTTTTTTTTTGTTTTATTTTATGCAATTAAAAATATTTAATCCACGTTAGTATTATTTATTTATCTAATCAATTTAAATTATGTAAATAAATTTAAAATTAAATAGTATATAAATATTTTACAAAATATTCACACATGTTTTTTTCAGAATTTAATTTTTTCATACTAATTAAACAACTTTGATTTAGCAAATGCCAAAAACTCAATACTTTCTATAATAAAAAATTTTCTAATTTGCATTATAAGGATTATAGTATATTTAGCATACTTTGCCATGAAAATATATTTTACAAGAATTTCATTATAGAAATAAATCAAAACAAAAGATGATAAAAAAAAAAATAATCATGATTGCCAATAATATTCAAATAAATTCAAAAGAACAGTTAATGTATTTCAATTTTAAATTTTGACCATTAGTAAAACTATGTAATGTATATGGTCATTATCTTAAATAATAAATTATATTAATTTGAAGAATAACTATTTTATATATATATATACATAACAAAATAAAGCTTAATAAAAAATTATATTGGCAAAAATTAATTCATCAACTTGACTTCGCTTGATTAATTAGAAGAAAAAATTATATATAACCTGTTACGATTTTCTATAATTATTTTTAGATAAAATGTGAATATTTGTGAAGAAAAAAAAATATTATGATTAGAACTTAAAGTATATTATAATATTTATCTTGGATAAAATATTATCGACATGGATCGCAAAAAATCAATCTTGTAATTTATTGTAATAAATATAAGTGAAATTTTCGTAAACTAGTATGTATCCCGTGCGATGCAGGGGTTATATAAATTTAGAGAATATTATAATTTGACATTATTCATTTATAAAATAGTTTTAGTATGTAGAAAAATTATTCAATCATAAGACGTTTGTCACGAAAAAATCATATATTATTAAAAAAATTATTTTACACAACATTGTAAGTTTGATTATTGGATAACTCGTCGTTCTCACAAATTAATATCTTAAATTCCGTTATATTAGTTACACGTGAAACAACAACATATAATTGACTGATTAAAAACAGGATTCTTCAGGAACAAACTGGAACTTAAATGAAATTGGAAGATCTGATGGAGTGATATTCATTCTAGGATTCAACATGATCTCCTGTAAATATCTTGTATAAAAAAATGATAAAATAAAATTCAAAATCCTAATAAAATTTATTTCGTCTTGAATTATTGGTGTTACCTCCTTAATTTCGTAGAGAGAATCAACCGAAGAAACGACAATATTAGCATATTCCAAATCATCAATTTCAGTCTTTTGGATTTGAAAATGTACTTTCTCCCAACCAAGTTTTCTTTATACTGTACCTAAAAAGTTGAATTAAAATATTAAATTATTAAAGAAAAATATACAAAAAACAGTTTATGTATTTTTTTTGTTAAATACGACCTTCTCCAAAGTCAATGATCTCTGGCACAAAGTCGTGTGCAATCAGCTTGGTCACATTCAATGAGGTTGTTACTTGGATTTTACGTATAATTTTATATTAAAGAGAAAAATAAAAAAATTGAAGACAACAAATAAGATGAGTAAATAAGTAATTAATCACAGGTGCAACTAACAACAATATTATTTTGCGCGTTCAAGTTGCATTATTAGAACCCAAAAGACCAATTTTTTCATAGGGCTACGAAAGCCAGAAGTTGATCTACATATTCTTCCCAAACAGTGCAGTACTGTAATTATAACAATAATTTTAAAATATTTGAACTACAAAACAATTGCACACACACATATATATAGATTATTCAAAAATTTAATACTTACTTCAAGTTCATCATAATGAAGGCCACTATTTGTGTATCACCTTGTAAATTATGGAAGAGGCTGAAAACAAAGAAAGCATCTCGAAAGATTGATAATATAAGTGGGATTCGAATTCCATTCATGATCATATTTCCAACAAAAAGAGTTCCAATCATGTATTTTACTACTGTGATTGGGTTGTTGCCATGTATGTAGAGATGTTTGTATTATAAATGCCAAATCCTTTATATTAGGTAGTTAAAATTTTAACAAATCCTACAATTTATTTTCATATGCAATTCGAATGTAATAGAATTATATATTTTTTTTCTAAAAAAATATTTGAATTATATCATATTAATAAACAAATTTGATATTTTTCATTAGTAAAACTAAATTTTTGTAGTATTAATTTAATTTAAATATTTAAAAATATTGTGTAACATCAATGATGACTTTTGAAAAATGACTAAATCAATATATATTTTGATTGATTTTGATAAAAAAAAAAGTGATAAATTAAATTTTAACATAAACATTACAATTGCAATTCAAAATAAATCAAACTCATTTTCAAAATTGAATTGAACCAATACCACATTTTTAGGGAAAACACAAAATTTTGTGATAAAAAAATGATAAATTCAATTCAAACACACATTACATGCGCAATTTCAAAATCAAATTGAACCAATATCCCATCTTTTTAGGGAGATTAAATTGCCAATACCACATCTTTAGGGGAAAAAGTTCAGCCCCAACTTGATATAAATTAGCCGCAAATTCCAATTTGACATGAACTAATTCCTTAAATTAAGGACAACATTAATGGTGCCCGATTTACTGAATAAAAAAAATAAAAAAAAAAAACTTACTCAAATTAGTAAGTATTTAATGCTGACCGAATTTGACCAGCTATTTTAGAAAAAAGGTAATTCTTTTTATATATATATAGATATAGATATTAGTAAAATTGTTTAAGGAAACAATATTTTCTTATCATATTTGATTTGATCTTATTTGAAAACATGTATATGGAAACAATTGATGCATATTAAAAAGTTTCCAAAAAAAGGTGTGCAATAAATGGTTCCAATTTTTTTTACTACTATTTTTGGTAGATGGTTAATCTTATGATATAAATATGGATTTTCGAACACGCTGAGTTTAAGTGTTTGCAACATTGTACGACATCTTCAATGTGGCTTTTCACATTATAAAAAATTATTTATGTCATCAACTATTTAAAAGTATGTTACTGATTTATTCTCCAATACATCATGTCGTGAATTCTTTCATGATGAGATGGATGATATTTAATGTCGACAATGTTGAGTTCACTTTCTAATGTGTAACATCATGTTAAACATGATGACCAATCCATTCACTTTGAATTTGGCATATATTTTTACAGTTCTAGTTGTAGACATCGAAATTTTAATATTTTATTAATTAGTGTCTTTATTTATTTTTTGACATAAATTCAAGATAAATAAGAATTTTTCTTAATAGAGTAAATATTTCGTGTCCACAAAAAAATAGGGCTCTCCTCCTCACAAATCAAAGTCTTAAGCTCAAAAACTCTTTTGAAGATTTGGAGACGTTCTTGAAGATCTAAGGGCATTTAAGTTCAAGACCGGCGTTCAATCCGGATCAAGCCTCCTAACCTCTGAAGTTTGCTCAATGGAGAAGAAGGTAGATAAGAAGAAAAAGAGGTGACGGTCTTTCTCCAATAAATAAAGAAGCGACATTCATCATTTTCAAATCATTTCAAGAATATCAACGACGTTCAAAGGACATTCATGCCTCGTTCGTCGAGAAGTTCAAACAGACCCTGAAAAATG